AGAGCCCTCACTTTGCATGTGTTGAGGGTCTAGATTCAATCCTCAGCACTACAAAGTGAAGTAAAGTAAAGGCCCTCCCGTTGATCATCTATTTGCTCGAGCGGGCCCAGTAACGTCTCCATTGGAGACTTTGTTGTTACTGTGTCTGGCATATCGAATTCGTCATGGGGAGCTTGCCAGGCTTTGCCATGCGGGCAAGACACTCTCGGTAGCTTGCGGGGCTCTCCGAGAGGGGCGGAGGAATCGAACTCGGGTCGGCCATGTTGGCTGCGTGCAAGGCAAACGCCCTACCGCTGTGCTATTGCTCCAGCCCACCAGCACTACAAAAGAAAAAAAAAACAATAGAGTAGATCAGCTAGCACCGAAAGATTATTCTCAGAATCTGGGCATTACCAAGTGCAAGCAAATTATTATCTAATAAAGTATTTTACTGTCCACACTTTTGCAATGCTAATCATAACCATTAACTGCAGGCTTTCTGTTTGGGGACCAAAGCCAGCAGTGCTCAGGGCTTACTCCTGGATCTGTGCTCAGGGATCACTACTGGCAGGGCTAGTGGGACCATATGGGTGCCAGGGATCATATCCAGGTCAGCTGCGTACAGGGCAAGCACCCTACCAGATGTACTACCACTCTGGCCACAGGGGGCTTTTATAATAAAGCAAATACAATCTAAGACATTTTTGAAGCATTTAATTTAAAATTATTCTATATCAGGGCTGGAGCGATAGAACAGCGGGTAGGGTGTTTGCCTTGTATAGGGCCGACCCAGGTTTGATTCCCAGCATCCCATACGGTCCCCTGAGCACCGCCAGGAGTAATTCCTGAGTGCATGAGCCAGGAGTAACCTCTGTGCATCGCCAGGTGTGACCCAAAAAGCAAAAAAAAAAAAAAAAAATTTATTACATAGCAAATATAGCATAACTTGTCAATGGACTCAGAAATGTCAAATGGATGGATTAGTATCAGGGCTACTCCTGGCTCTATGCTCAGTCTTGGTCTCAGGAGTGACTGGAGACCAGGCCTTTAGCGTGCAAAGAACGCACTCAATTCACTGAGTTACCTCTCGGGTCCTTATTACTCCTGATTTAAGAACTGACTTTAGGGCTGGGAGAGACAGTAGCCCACCCCGTTCTATCCCAACACCACATATTGTCGCTTGAGCACCGCCAGGAGCGATCCCTGAGCACACAAAGCCACGAGTAGCCCTGAGCACCACAGGATGTGGCACCAAAAAACCAAAGACAGTTTGAATTTACTGAAAGAACTATCCTCTCTGGAAATTAGTGCATAGAAATGATTTTAAGCTATAGTTAGATCTACAACTGTCTCTCACAAACTTGTGCTCTGACAAGAATTTAAATCAGCACCAACACTCACGTGGACAAGTCAGAAAAGATTTGTGGACAGGAAAGACTGAATAAACTTCCATTTGCACACTGAGAAATTCCATCTTATTCAAATTATCACTATGAATTAACACATCTAGTGCCAAATTCTGAAACAGTATTATCTGACCAGGCTAGGAGGAAAAAAAGGAACAAAGAAACAACATCTACTGCCATATTTATATAGTCCTAATCTTCCTGAAAGACTTAAACTTGTTTTATATAAACCAACTCAATTCTCACGGGAGGCTGATGAAGAGTCAGATTTCTAAAGGAGAAACAAGCACAATGGGATTAAGTATCTTGTCCAGCAGGTCGCCAGTGAAAATAAAACCAGACCCAATTATTCAGCCTACAAAAGTCTAAATAACCTGCTTTCCTTGGTCCATAAACTTAAGATATGAATACCTACAAATTACTCCAAACCATAAAACTTCACAGAACAATATTTATATAACCAGAAGCTATGCCAGAATTGAGTATTCTGAGCAAGAAAGTACTGCTTGCCTCAAATCAATAAAATGAACTACCACAATCATCTTTTTTAAATACAAGGAAACATAACAATATTGGTGAAATTTTTCAAAGGTCATCTTAAATTGTACTGCTCAAATTCTCTGAGAGAACCGAAGGGGTCAAATATGTTCTTCATAACTATATTGCATACATACATGAGATCTCAAAATACTGCTAAAAATTTCAAAGGCTTATTATGCTTTAAGAACCTTTCCCTCCAGAAAGTAGAATCTTACAGCTTTAAAGCATTTTTGCTATCTTCAGAATACACTTCAAATGTTTATTTTAAAAATTAGCTTTCAATTTATTTTTAAATATTTGTATTTACAGATTCTGATTATATTAAATCATGATGCTTTGCTCAGCCCTCATGTTTAGGCAAGAGTCACACTTCCACTCAAACTTATTTGTAGATACAATGGCAGCATTAAGATATTTCTTATGTTGGCAAAAGAAAACTAATCAACCCTGAAAGCTTCTCCAAGTACCAAAGCAAACCTTTAATTTGAAATCATGCTAGGTATCACATTAGACACTATATGAAGTTCACGAAGTGATCACTGACCTTCTGCAGCAAGGTGAAATAATTTATCTGACAAGACTAAATTTTCAACAGTCAAAAAGGAAGTCATTTTTCCAGGTCCTAGAAAACCCTGCTTGCTGAGGCAGTCTAGAAGCAGTTTCCTTAATCCTCCCAAATCCCAAAGAATCTAACACAAGCCACAATATTGAGACCCGCACTGCAAAGCTTGTATTCAAACCCCAAAAGGTTATTTCCAGAGTTTAGCAAGGTGATGCGCTCAGGCAAACATAACCCCAGAAATCCTTCCTCAACAAACACTACAATCGCCAAATCAAATCAAAATGCCAGAAAAACCAAGAGGCTCCAGCTAAATTTTACTTGAAATACTGAAAAGTACCCAGAAAGAGAGTAAAAGAGGTGACAAGCTCCATGCCAGTCACTTTCAGAAGCTGAGTGTACATCATTTCTGCTGCACCTAGCACAGGACTCAGATATTACATCACCCAATGCTTGAAAACTGCCCCATTACCCAGAAAGCAGCCGGGTATCTAAGGCACTGCACCAAAGTCCCTTCCTCCCGCAATGAGACACAGTACTCAAACGCTACTGAACACTACAGTTCTCTATTTCTGCGGTATCTTCACAAAGACATAGGCCCTGCACCTGTGCAATCCGATTCCTACCCATTCTCCACGCACCCTTCACCACCTCTAAGGGCTCTTCTATCTGCCAGCTTAGGAGGACAATGGGCTGAAGTGATGCCCCACCACACACTCCTCTGAACTTGCGTGTTCTCGGTCCTCCCTGAGCCCTTCCCCTTCACTGGGTTCTGGAACTAAAATCGGGCTTCAGAATCCCTCTGAGCCTAAAAGCAGAACCTTCAGATGTGGCACAGGGCTTAACATCTTGCATTTCCCATTAATACCATGCCAGGGTACACACGCACACATACACACACACACATATCCTACATCTATCATTCCAAGCCATACTACCATATTATCCCTCCCTGCCCCATATATATATATGAGACAGTTATCTACAGCTTCTCTCAGCCTGGAATTTAATCCCCTCACTTTTTTTTTCCAACTTCTGCACTCTGACCTAGCCTATTTTAGTCCCTTTAATCTCTCAAGATTCAGCTTTCTGATCTCTCTCCACACCTCAGCACCCTGCTCCTTTCATATTCTTTCAAGCAACCAGTTTTTTTTTCCCCCTTTCTCTCTCCCTCTCCCCAACCTCAATAGTCTTTCCAGGCATGAAACCGGGGCATCCCAGAGCCCCCACTCTGATACACATCCTCCACCGGCCCCTGCCCTGCCCTGCCCGCAGGACAGGTCCCACACAAGCTTCTACATCCTCTCTACATCTTCTACATCTTCAGTCCCCAAACAAGGCAGGGGCGCACCCCGGGGCCCGGGGCCCGCGCCCCTCCCTCCGCACTGGAGCCCCCTCCCGGACTGCCCTTCACACACACACACACACACACACACACACACCATTGCCCCAGCCCTCCTTCACCCCAACCTCCCACCACCCTCCTACCCCAGAAACGGGCCTGCCCAGAGGCGCTACCCCCCTAGGCTCACCTGCCCCGCGGGGACACGGTCCCCTCCCCCCCACGCACGCACGCGCCTACAAACACACGCACGCGCGTGCATGCACACACACACACACACACGCACTCCAACTCCACCTGCCCCCCCACCAACGCCCTCCAACCCAAGTTCCCTCTCCAGATGCACCTGCCAACCCACCCCACCCCCAATCGCCAGCACAGCTCCTCCTCTGGACCGCCAGCACCCCACGGTCCCCGCGCCCCGCGCCGGCCCAACACACCCCCAGACTGTGCATGTGTATGCACACACGCGCGCGCGCGCACACACACACACACAGAGACACACACACACCCAACCTCGGGGCCTAGCCTCCGGGCACCTCCACCGCCGACCCCCCACCCCCAGGGATGCTCCCGGCCCCTCCGCCCGCCCGGGCACCTGTCTCGCGGGGCTCCCCGTCTTCCCATGTGGCCGGCGGCCTCGCCGCGCCGGGCCCGACCCCCTGCCCTTCACCCGCCCGGGACGGCCCTTCCCTCCTCCCCGGGCCCCCCCACCCCTCGCCCGGCCCCCGTCGCCTTCATTCCCGTCACACTCGCGCATCCCTCCCCGCCCCCGCTCCGGGACCCCCACCCCGGGCACTCGGCCCGCTCCTCGCACGCCCCCCCCGCCGCCGCCGCCGCGCGCGGGGCCCCCCGGAGCTGCCCCCCGCCCCGGGCCCGCGCCGCGGCCCAGGGCCGGAGCCCTCGGCGCCGACTCGCCCCCCAACGTGCCCCCGGCCGCAGCGTCCTCCGGCACCTGCCCCGCGCCCCGCGCCCCCGCGCCGCCCACGCCCTCCCCCGGCGCCGCGCCGGCCCGGGGTCCCCGCGCCGCCCGCGCCCGCCGCCGCCGCTGCTAAGGACGCACAACAAACAATGCGGGGCCCGGGCCGGCTCCGCCAACCGCCTCAACCGCCGCCTCAACCGCCCGCCCGGGACGGCCCGCCGCGCAGGCGCCGGCCCCGCCGCCGCAGCCTACCCGCGCCGCCGCGCTCTGCCCGCGCCCGCCGCCCGCGCCCGCTCCGCCGCCGCCGCCACCTCGTCCGCCCGCGGCTCCGACTCCTCAGCCCAGCGGCGGCGGCTGCGGCGGCTGCTGCCCTGGTGGCGCTCGCGGCTCCGGTCTCCGCTTCGGCTTCGGCTTCGGCTTCGGCGGCGGCGGCGGCGGCGGGCACGTGACGCCGCCGAGCGCGCCCATTGGCCGGGGCAGGGGGCGGGCCCCGCGGCTGCCGGGGAACGGAAAACCCGCCCCTCGGCTCGCCGCGCGCCCCCCTCCACGCGCGCCCTGCCGCACCTGAGAGCGCCGGCCAGCGCCCGCCGCCGCCGCCGGGCCGCCTGCGCCAACTGCGCACCTGGGAGCGCGCAGGGAGCGCCGGCGGGGGGCGGCCGCGTGCACCTGCGAGCGGACGCTTACGTAAACGGCGTCCCCGCCCTCCTCCCGGCCCCGGGCCCCGCGCCTGCTGCAGCACCTGAAGCCGCGCCGCGCTGGCGGCGTGGCTGCTGCTGCTGCTGCCGCCGCCGCCGCCGCCGCTGCTGCCGAAGAGCCGGGACGAGCTGCGCAGGGAGCAGAGAGGGAGCAAGAAACGGAAACGCCGTAACTTCCGAATGTGGGAGCGGCTCCGGGCAGCCACGCGCCCGCGTGCGGGGTGCCCCCCACCCCAGCCTCCCCTTGGCCGTGCCAACGGAATCCGCGCCGCAGTGCCTCCCCAGGTGGAGCAGAAGGAACGGTGGTGGCCTTTGACTGGTTCAAAGATTCGACTCCGCGCCTCCCGCCCCCACCCCCACACTTTCCAGCTCTGTGACCTTGACCAAAGAATGGAACCCCTCTGAGCCTCGGTTTCCCGCTTGGGTTCCGCTGAGTCCGTATTCCGACTTAGAAGCTGATGGAGAACCTGGGGTATAAGTCTAGTGCGAAAGCTCTTAAGCTTGCACTGACCAAAAGTTGCAGCCTAGCGAGCACCCACCTCTCTTCCCAGTCCTGGGTTTGAGCGTCGGGGACAGAACCTCCCTGACCTCTTTATACTTGGGCCGGACTCTTCGCCCAAAGGCGCGGGAGGGGAAATGAAGGTTTAAGGGTGGAGAAGGTGCAGTGAGTATGGTGCTTTGCCTGCACGCAGCCAACTCAGATTGGATCCCTGGCAGCGCATACAGTTCCCCACACCAGCCGGGTGTGATCCGTGAGCACAGCTGAGTGTGGAAGGAAAAAAAAAAAAAGATTTACTTTGTACTTGTCAGGATTACTAGCTGGCATTGCCTTAAAGCCCAGCCTTCTGCTAGCCTGGACCCCAGTAGCTGTGGCATGCCAGGGCTGGGTGTTAGGATGAATCAAGTCCTTGTCCTAAAGGAATTCCTTAACTTGAGGGGGAACCGACCTCAACCATGGATGGGTCAGGGCTTGAGGGCTGGGGGTGGAGGAGGGCTCTCTCCCAAGAACCCCCCCAGGGCTGCTTCCATCTTTCTAACATGCAAGCCTCAAGTATGTTAAGAGATCCATTTCATGGGGGGTGGGGGCCCTAGAACAGTGGGTAGGACGTTTGCCTTGTGTACTCTTGTGAACCTGGGCTCCATCCCCAGGTACACCTGTGGTCTCCCAAGCACTGGGAGTTCAAAGTGTGGGTGCGTGAAGCATGAATTTGGTGGCTGAGAACCGCCTCTCCAGATCAGCCAATAGTGACAGGCAAATGAGGGAATGGAGGAACGGGGCCACAGGCTGGTTGTAATCAGGGAAGATCTATTTCTACTCCTTCGACTCCTTATCCCACCTCCCTGAGACATTACTGTTAGACTTTTATATCCTGGAAATAGTACAGCACTTGCCTTGTATGAAGCCAACTTAAGTTTGACCCCCCGCACCCCAAACAGTCCCCTGAGCCAATCAAGTATGATTCCTGAGTACAGAGTCAGGAGTAAGCCCTGAGCACCACCAGGTGTGGCCCTTAAACCAAGGAACGGAAGTTTTACATCCCATATCCCTATTAAGTCCGATAGCACAGCGGGTAGGGCGTTCGCCTTACAAGCGGCCAACATGGCCGACCCGAGTTCGATTCCTCCGCCCCTCTCGGAGAGCCCGGCAAGCTACCGAGAGTTTTCGATATGCCAGACACAGTAACAACAAAGTCTCCAATGGAGACGTTACTGGGCCCGCTCGAGCAAATCCCTATTAAGTCCAGTTGTAGAAATGAGGTATCTGCAGTGGAATATTTGGATTCTAACATAGAAAAAAGTCAAAAAAGAATTAAGTACAGTTCCTACCTATGGCTGGAAAATTAAGCTGAGTGTGGAGATGAAAACTTTAAATACTTCTGAAGGGCTGGATTAGTACTGTGGGTGGGGAGTTTGCCTTGCACGCAGTCAATGTGGGTTTGATCGCTGGTCCCCGATATGGTCCCCAAAACCCACCAGAAGTGATCCCTAAGCTCAGGGCCAGGAGTAAGCTCTGAGCACAACTGGGTATGGCCCCAATGCCAAAAATAAATACTTCACATTGTTGCATCATATATATCATGTTAGTTATATATATTATATAGTATTATATATATATATACATATATATGAGGCTGGGGCAATAGCACAGTGGGTAGGGCGCTTGCCTTGCACGTGACCAGCCTGGCCAAGCCAGGTTCGATTCCTCGACCCCTCTCAGAGAGCCTGGCAAGCTATGGAGATATCTCGCCCACACGGCAAAGCCTAGCAAGCTCCCCGTGGCGTATTCGATATGCCAAACACAGTAACAACAAGTCTCAGGACGGAGACATTACTGGGCCTACTCGATCAAATCGAGGACAATGCTACAGTGCTAATATTATATTATAATGTTACATTATAATTATATAACAATATTATATTATTGTCTGGGCCGGGTGCTGTTCGCTTCTTTACCGAAGAAATGGCGTGTCGGATTTTGGAAGGGAGAACGTTGGGATCGACATATCCATCCTGTGGAATTTGGTATGTGGGCAGGTGGATGTGGCTATTGAAGAGATCCGAGTAGAAGTCACGGATAATCTCCATTGCCCTTCTGAAAGATGTCATAGATCTATCAGGATGTTGGAGGGCAATCATCTTGGTCTTGTAGTTGGCGAAGGACAGGCAGGCGTTGCAAATGCTTTTTCCGGCTTCTGCCTCATCTGCTAGCACTGCTGTTCTTCTCTCTTTGAGGTCTTCCTCAAGCACCTGGCCCAGACAAGGTCAGACCCAACACCTGAAGAACCTGTCGTCAGTACTCATCAATACACTGGCTTGGCTCTTCACACACTACCTGTCTGAATGCAAGTTTCCATCCCAGTGGAAAACTGTACAAAAAGGGAGACATCCACAGCATTGGCAACTATTGCCCGATCTGCCTGTTGTCTGTCGTCTACAAGCTGTTCACTCAAGTCATCCTGAATAGGTTAGGCAGAACACTAGATGAAGGACAACCACGTGAACAAGCCAGGTTCCAAAAAGGATTCAGGAGTGATAGCACAGCGGTAGGGCGTTTGCCTTGCATGCAGCCAACATGGCCGACCCGAGTTCGATTCCTCCGCCCCTCTCGGAGAGCCCGGCAAGCTATCGAGAGTATCTCGCCCACATGGCAGAGCCTGGCAAGCTACCCGTGATGTATTCGATATGCCAAACACAGTAACAACAAAGTCTCCAATGGAGACGTTACTGGGCCCGCTTGAGCGAATCGATGAACAACGGGAGGACATGTGATGATGACATGTGATGATCCACCATATCTACACAATAACCAAGCTCACTGAGGTTTCTCAGGAGTTCAAGATGCTGCTCTGTCTAACGTTCATTGATTTAAAGAAGCCCTTTGATTCTGTTGAGACTGCAGCAGTCATCAAAGCCCTAGTCAAACAAGGTATTCAAACTCAATACATCAGGATCTTACGTGAGCTGTATTATGGATTCACTACCAGGATCTCACCATTCTACAAAGAAATAATCATCAATGTTAAGAGAGGGGTTTGGCAGGATGATACCATTTCACCGAAACTCTTTAGTGCCACCCCCGAGAATGTCATGCAACGACTAGAATGGGAAGAAATGGGAGTGAAGATAGATGGTCGGCAACTACACCACCTCCACTTCGCTGATGACATCGTTCTAATAACGCCAAACATTAGCCAAGCAGCACAAATGCTGACCGACTTCAAACTTGAGTGTGAAAAAGTCGGACTACAGCTGAATCTCACGAAGACAATGTTTATGAGAAATGGTCTTGTTTCTGATGTTCCATTTGCTCTCAATGAAAGGAACATCTCCAAATGCAACAGTTATGTGTACGTAGGTTGAGAAGTAAACATGACGAATGACCTGGCACCCGAGTTGCACAGGAGGAAGAAAGAAGCTTGGAACACCTTCAAGAGCGTCGAAGAAATAGCTAAGAGGACGAAGAACTTCCAGCTCCAGGCACATCTCTTCAATTCCACTGTTCTTCCTACATTAACATATGCCTCAGAGACCTGGGCACTATGAAAACAGGATGAGAATGCTATTGGGGTCTCCCAAAGAGGAATCGAAAGAGCAATGCTTGGAGTATCATACCTCACTCAAGTGAGAGAAAGAGTCCAGAGTTCCAACCTCTGTCAACGATCAAGAGTCAGGAATGCTGACTCATTTGCCAAGACATCGAAAATCAGATGGGCTGGACACATAACGCGATTTGGAGACAAACGCTGGACTAGAGTCATTACAGACTGGATTCCATGGGACGTCAAAAGATCGCGTGGCCGCCCACCTATGAGATGGTCAGACTTATTTATCAAGACCCTGAACGATCGGTTTGAGGCTCTTTGTGTTCCTGGAGCAAGCAGACACCATTGGGCTACACTAGCACGCAACAGGGACAGATGGAGATGTTACTGGAGCCCACTCGAGAAAATCGATTAGTAACAGGATGTCAAGTGATCAAGTGTGATTTTATTATTATAATATGTTATTACATTATTATAATATAATGTAACAATAACATATTATAATATGTTATTATATTATTATTATAATGTAACATGTTACATATTATATAGATACATAATATTATTGTATAAAGTAGCACTGTAGCACTGTCCTCCAGTTGTTCATTGATTTGCTTGAGCAGGCACCAGTAACATCTCCATTGTGAGACTTGCTGTTACTGTTTTATTTGGCATATGGAATACGCTACG